TACCCCGGATTTGATGCGCATAATCGCGGCTTCCAGCGAAGTTATCAAGATGTCAGTCTTGTCCGCCTCATAAGCAGAGCTCGTGGAGAGACGAAATTGTCTCCTGAAGCATAGCTGTGCCGTCCAGTTCAAAGCGTAACGTCGTTGACCTGATTAGATCCGTCGTAAGTCAAAATTTTTTTTTACCTCGGACAGATTGCTGTTTTTGATGCACACGAACAAATATAACCGACAGACGAACGTTCCAATTGATCCATTAATTGACCATAATATTTTTCCAGATTATTCGCGTATTCTCCTCATCGTAAATTACCCCGGATTTGATGCGCATGATCGCGGCTTCCAGCGAAGTTATCAAGAAGCCAGTCTTGTCAGCCTCATAAGTATCAATTGTGCTTCGCTCAGAAACCATTGACATTCAAAATGCTAACTTTAATCCCAGGCCGTCATATTTTGTGTATGGATGATGAAGGAAAGTCCAAAAAGATGAAAAGGGAAATTTCTATATACTGGACATTATAGGTAATTTCCTTAGCACTTGGCTAGGTTAGAATTCTCTTAATATATTTGTCATTTTGTATTGTATTGAAATTGTGACGCTTATTTATGTTACAGATAACCAGTTGTGTATGGCCACGGACTGTGAAGATTTGCGAAATTTTTTTAAATACCTTTAGATGAACATCCTTCAACGCCTTTTTCTGATAAAGACTTTTAAGTAATTCATTACTGTTATGTTACAAATTGCTGTTTTGTTGAAAGTAACATACTATTTGTACTTAATGTAAGGGTATATTTTATGGTATACTTTTTATTGGTATATTTTATGATTTTCCTATGAATCTACAGATGTACCTAAAAAACCTTTATCTGTACAAGAAGGTGATAACCCCTAGGTACCTGTAAAACTTGTAAAGGTGCCTATAAAATCAAAATCACAAGAGACAGCTGTGAAATGGAAGGACGAAAATGCTGTTAAGCTCTTAATCAAACTGTGGCAGAATCATGAGTCGCTGTTTAAAAGTTCTACTATGAAAAATGCAGAAGTGTGGCGGTTGATTTCTGAAGGTTTGCGAAAAATGAAAGTAGGCATACTATAGGGGATTTAGAATCAGGCTTACGTGACGGTGGGTCGGGGGCAGGAAGCGGAACGCGTGGGGGCCGCCGTAAGCGGTGGGCGAGGGGATGGCGTCGGCAGACGGGGGCCGTCCCGCCGCTGCTTTTCTAACTCAGGATAGTGGGGGGAAGCGAGGGGCGCCACCACTCTCGCGCGGCGCGAGAGGGCGGGCCATTCCGAATTCCCCCTCTAGGTCAATCGCGATTATCTCTGCGCGGCGCGAGAGGGCGGGCCATTCCGAATTCCCCCTCTAGGTCAATCGCGGTTATCTCTCAAAGCTATTTCCAGAGTTATATGCTGCCCTATTGACATCCGCCGAGCGATAAGCGCGAGCCAAAGCGAATCCTCGCGCAATTGTATCGTCAGTTTGAAGTTTGCGAAGGTTATATTTTAATAATAACTACTGAAATCTACATTGCAATAATCGTACCCCGACTGACGCGCGAGGCGCTTCTCCGCGGATGGATCCCCCGTCGCAACGGCGGTGCGTCGGTAATCGATCGTAGTCGTCTTAATATCTGTAGCTCCCTACTCAGAGGAAAAAAAAAGGCTGTTGACTGTTGTATATTTTTTATTGTTTAAAAAAAATATAATCAACAGATTGACATGTCTGTCCTTCTTATCGTTGGTCAGCTGTAAAGGAACGATCTCGTCGTTCCGTCCCTTCCGCCAAGTGGTGAAAACGTTGACTGATATGTCGTTGAGTCGTTCGAACCTCGAAATTTGCCTCAGAGTCATAGGAAACTCGATCCCTTCCAAAATTCAGCACCGTCGCGTAATAGGGATACGACCCGCATCGATCCACGTTCTGCAGAGCGGGATACAGAACGGAGATTACCGCCCACGCGAAACACGCGTTGTCGTATGAATGCACATTGATCACCGCTTTCTTTACCTTTATCCATTGCGGTATTTCAAACCAACATCCGGCGTGCATGGGATTGCACTTGTTCACGTTCACGATCAGGTTCAATATACGCGACAATGCCCAGCCACTGTCGCGTTCCTGAAACTCATCCAGACCCGCCAGAGTGGCATCGATCACGTATCTGTCGTACCATTCTCGCAAATCGGCCGTAGGAAAGAGCTGACGATTTCCCGTGGCGACGCTTTTCACGTCGGTTTTAACCCCCGCGACGAACTCGCCATTGAAAACTGTGTTGACCTTCAGGCACGCGTGTCTCTCGTGATTGACGCGCACTTGTTCGAGCACCGTGCGCCTTGCGTCCTCGAGAAATAATCGAGGATCGACGTGATTCGAGTTTATAACCGCACCGGTCAGTACGCGACTTTCGAAAGCCGTCTCTATCTCCGTCCACGAAAATCCTCTGCTCGGTTCGCCGTGACCGGCGCCCACCTGCGCGAAACGTTGACGCAGAGCGTTTCTCGCTCCTTCCAATCGCGCCACTCGAACGATAAGAGAGTTCAACGTTCCGGTGTACGTCGGGCGGGTTTTTTCACGGCATCTCTCTCGCAGAGACGCGAGACGCTCTTCGCACCGTCGTTCCCACTCGCGATACGCGTCCGACGAGTCGAGGCCCGTGGCGAATTCGATGAGATCGCGATCCTCCTCCGACATTTTTTTTTTTATATTTAATCGTCACACACTTCAAACTGACAATCTAATTGCGCGAGGATTAGCGTTCTCTCGCGCTTCGCGCTTATACAGTGCCCGCGAGAACGGTACGCTCGCGTTATTTCCCCCGTTCGAAACTCTCGCTCCCGGCCCCCGTTATCTCATCCCCGTTCGCGTTCTTTTTCCCTCGCGCGTTCTCGCTCGCAGTCTCTCTCGCGCCCCCGTCCCCCGTTCGCGTTCTCGCTCACGATCGCGTATCTTTTCTTCACCAACGATATTTAATCGTTTAGATCTTCGCGATATTAAATTTTAATATTACATTAAGTAAACGATAAACGAAGACAGCTTAATTCTAATGACAAGGAATGGGGTGAACGGTAAATGAAAAGGAAAAATCGTTTAAACCTTTTACCATATTATATACATATTTATTTGTCATGCGGCATGAATTTTGTGTCAACAAGAATTCATACAAATAGGTTAGATTACTATGCACTTTATTCCCCTGATGGAGTTGAAAGGTCGTTTTTAGGGACGCCAACCCTTTACAAAATCATCTTACATTTACTCACTTTCTGCCGCCTAAATATATATATATATTGCTTATAGATAAGTTACAAAATTGATATTAACTCTCGATTGCGCTCTAGAATCCTCGCAGATAT